ACTGGTTTGAACCGAAGTGGTTCGGTCAAACTCGAAATTTGAACATAGTCAAATGGCTTCACCACTTGTATAAAAATAACATGCATGTAATATGATTTGGACCTTCACCACTTATGTAAATAACAACTACTATTACCACTAAACTATGACCAACTTATTTGTCAAGTGGGAGTTAGTTTTTTGTTTTAAGTACATAAGTATAAGATTAATGGGTTTGGGCAGATTAGATTGGACCAAGGCAGGTTTGGGTTAAACCCAACTTATTTAATTTTATATAACTGGGTCATTAATGGGTTAGCCGGTTAGATAAATTGATTGAACCTCAACCCAAACCAAATCCAACCCAATTCGCCCAATTACTACCACTAAATTATTTCATAAAGATCATGAATTATGACTTTGTATGTAATGGTTGTAAACTAGGAAATAAAGCACTAGGATTTAGGATAGGGAGTTAGGAAGGTGATATACAAATAGGTTTTGAGTGCAAGGAATATAGATATTGGGAATATCTTCTCCTAGATATAAAAATGGTAGAAAAACTAAATGAGGTGTGTCATGTGTGGTGAGATAACTATGACCCCTCACCTCCCCTCTTTGATATATATATATATATATATTAAAAAAATGAAGTCTAGAAATTTTCTCATTTTTCACATTTTTTTTAATTTCATCTCATTTTTGAAACAACCAATGAGATGCATTTTCCTAATAACCTAAATAATCTTTTGTCCTAAAATTTCTCCTAAACTACCTCCATTATCCCACCACTTTCTCCAAAATTATCTCTAATTCATATCCAATTCCTATTTATTCTCTCGCCTACTTTTTATCTATATCTATCTAAAGAACATTTGGATTAAAAAATTTAAAAATTATTTAAATATTCTAAAAAATTATATAATAAGTTTAAAATATTTATTAAAAACACAAAAATAATTTTTATTTTTGTAAAACATATCACAAAATTATGTATTAACAATTTAAATTATCTTTTTTTTCAAGATTATCAATTTAAATGTTTTTCAAATATTTAATAATATGTAATAGCTTTAAATAAATAAAATTCAAATAACAAAAATGCTCAAATATTTTATAGATTATTTAAATATTTAAATAACTAAATATTTATCATAACTATATTTTAAATAGTTAAAATAACAAAATTATGTAATAAATTTAAAAAATTTCTTCAAAGTAGAAAATAATTATAACATAATATTAAAATTAATAATAATTTAATATATTATAAAATTAATAACGAAATTATGTAATAATAGTATAAATTATATTTTATGTATAATTAAATTTAATATATAGTTAATATTTTAAAATTTAAATATTTTACATATTATTTAAGTATTTAAATAAATAAATATTTTAAATAACAAAATATTTAACATAACTAGATTTAAAATAGTTAAAATAAAGAAATTATGTAATAAATTTAAAAAATTCTGAAAAGTAGAAAAATAATTATAACACAACATTGAAATTAATAATAATTTAGTATTTTTACATAATATTGAAAGTAAGTATTTTCACTTATATCAAGTAATAATTTAAGAAAATAACTTAAAAAAATAATATTTATTAATAATAATTTTAAACTCTTAATCTGTATTTATTATATAATTATATATACTAAAATTAATATTTATTGTACTTCAGTAATTATTTATTATTTTTGTGTGATAAATGCATTTTCAATGATTATGTATAAATTTATTTTGCTTTGTTATTTAACAGAAAACTTTCAATAATTATTGGAGATTAAACTGCTATTATTGAAATTTTTAAATTTAATTTATTGTACTTGTTGTGTTTTTGTTATAACTTATTGATTAATATTTATTAGAAATTAAACTATTATTTGAGAGTATAATATTTTTTGACTACGTTAATATATTTTTAGTACTTATTTTGTAATTATTGTATTTTTCATCACTAATATATTTTTGATAATTTTGTATTTTGCTATAAATTTTCAATAATTATTAGAGATTAAACTATTGTTATTTATCATAGATGAGACTATTAATTTAGCTAAAATTATAAGTGTTCATGAGTTGGTTCAGTACGGTCGTATGCTATTTGGCCAACCAAATTGACCTGGTCAGGTTGGGGAGTTGGCTAGCTAAAACCAACTGACCTTTTGTAAAAAACTGATCCATTCAAGTTGTATCGGTTTGGGTTGATTTTTTTGTTTGGTTGGTCAATTCAAAAGATTTAAACTTAAAAAATGAATTTAATTTAAAAAATTACAGTGCAACTATTAAAAAATAAATTTAAAAATTAGATTATGATATAAAACATTTTAGACTAAGAAATATGAGAAATTTTCCACTTTTCAATATTAAAAATTATATTTAAAATACAAAATATTAATATATATCCATGGTTAGGTCATTCAATTTTGGTCGGTTTACAAATGGCCAAAGTAAAACTATCCAATTGGTTGAATTGGGAAATTTTTGAACCAAAACTGACCTAAATTACTAGAAAACCGACCAACTCAGGTCGAGTTGATCTGGTTGGTTGGTTTCATCAATTTGATGAATAAACCTAACTGAAATTAATTATTGTTGTTTTTGTATTAATTAAAAAATTGAAAATGTAAAACAATTGTATACTTTTATGTATTTCAATTAGGGTCATTTACTAGAACACACCTTATAGTTTTACATATTACTTAAACCTACCTTATAGTTTTCATTTTACTAAAGCATCCTATATATTTTAGAACTTATTTACTTAATCAACCTTTCATTAAGGAGTGTTTGTTTTGCCATTAGACCCATATTTTTTATTCCAAAAATACCCTTAACACTTTTTTTTGTACATAAAACAAAATTGACCAAATATAGCCAATAGAATGGTTGCATGTGCCTTATTAAGGGAAAAAATGGTATTTTTATTTTTATTTTCTTTTGATTAAATTTATTTAATTATAAGTGGTGTTTTAGTAAAATGCTAACTTTAAGGTAGATTTTAGTAAATCCATGAAACTATAAAGGGTATTTTAGTAAATGATCATTTATATTATTTAGCTTTCGCTTAATAAACACCATTCATCGCACGGGTCCCCGCTACTTTATAGAGACATACTAGTTTGGACCCACGATTTGCATGATGGGCTTTGTTATGTAAAATTGAAGTAGCGTAGGGATGTCAATAGGTCTAGTTAAGGCCCTGTTTGTTTTTTAGGAACTTACTTTCATAGGTATATTCATGGGAAATTTTTGGATTTAGTACTATGTAGGCCTATTCATGGGCCAGGTAGCCCAACGGGCTTGCGCATAGTTTTTAGCCCACGGGCTTGACCTCAAGCCTAAAAGCCAGAGCCTGACTGTTTTACGGGTCGGGCTTAGGATTTGCCACAAAAGCCCAGACCAACCCGACCTAGTGTAACCTATTCTAATTTCTAAACCCTAGCTGAATAAATACCCTTTCTTATTCCCCCTCTTCAGTCTTCATCTTATTCTCTCCTCACTCTCACTCTCAAGAATTGACACAAACTAAGACAGACAACCACCACTGTCAATCTCAGAGGCGACACGCGAGCTCAGGCATCGGTCGTCTCTTTCTCTGGCGGTGAGTCTTCTCTCTACCTCTATCTCTCTCACATCTCTCACGTAGTTCTCATTCTTAGTTTCTCATTCACTAAGTCACTGTTGCATATTCTCATTTTCTCAGGAACCAGCACCACCGGTGAACTGCGGCGGTGAGTTGCTCTGTGTGTGTGTGTGTGTGTGTGTTCCATCTTCTCAATGTTTTCATTCTCACCAGTGAACACCAACGCTACCATTGAACTCTAGCGAGCTCAGGTGAACTCATTCTCATCGGCGAACTCAAGATGCAATTTTCAATAAAAGTGAAAAAAAATCATTGTTAGGTCGGGCTTCGGGCTTTTTAAGAGGGTCGGGCTTGGGCCCAAGTTGTAGTCTTGTTGGTCGGGCTGGGCTCGGGCTCGGACTTGAAAATATTCTGTTAATGAGGAATGAAAGCCTGGCTTGGCCCAACCCATGAACAAGTCTAGTACTATGTACTTTGGTCCCCGAACTTTAAAATGCGATAATTCAATACCTAACTTTCCAAACATGCCAATTTAATACCTATCATTAAGTAGCATTTGAAAAGACAAAAATGTCCTTCAAGTGTCATCTAATTTTCTTTATCAACCATCCAAATGTTAACAAAAAATGAATAGTCTCAAATCCTTGCCTCTTCTATTCAAGAAAGTTGGGATCATCAAAATGCCTACTAAGACATGACCCCAATTTATTGAATAGTAGAGAAAAGAATTTGAGAATACTCATTGTTTTTCAATGTTTGGATGATTAATGAAGAAAATTAGATGACACTCGAAAAGCATTTATGTCTTTTCAAATGTTACTTAATGACTGATTTAGGATAGGTATTGAATTGATATGTTTTTAAAGTTTGGGCATTGAATTATTACATTTTAAAGTTTGGGAACCAAAGAGGCACTAAGCACAAAGTACAGGATACTAATCGGAAAATTTACCTAAATTCATTTACTTATACTATATTTTACTTAATTTATTCCAAAGAATGTGGGGACATTTTTTACCATTTTAATTTTTTCTATTTATCCTTTCTTTGGTAAACTCAACTTACTTCCCCCTTCAAAATCCCACCTCTACATGGTTAGGTTAGGGTCAGGTTTACCAGGATGTAGGGAGGGTCATATTAGAGAGTTAATAAATTTGGATCTTCTGCCAAATAAGACACGACGCGTGTCATGAAATACGCGTGGGATGTATTTGGGAGGCAACTCTATGGGGCGGATGCGAACCCGTTATAACTAGCCACGTGTTGGATTCGGAAGGACAAGGATACAGAACTGGATGCCCCACACTCGATATGAAACCTGCCACATATGAGAAAAAAGATTAAGAAAAATTGAAAGTGTAATTTCGCAATTATATGTGATCCCCGGTCTTTCTCACTCCTACGTGCGAAAGATTCGGCGGGAAACCTGCCCCAATCAAGCCTTCCACTTGGTCTTCTTTTTCGTTATTCTGCTTCCCCTGCATTCAGTCTGCACTTTTTAACACTTCCTGCAGTCAGTTCTCTCTCTGGTTAGCATGTCTTTCCATCTTCTTCTGTTGGGCTTTATTGTCTTTGGGTATTGTCGAGTATCCGCTGCTGTGTGATTTTTGTTCTTTTCCTTTCTGTTTTCAGGTTAGTTAGTAGCAGAATAACATCTTGCTAAACAAGGTATTCTCTCTCTCTCTCTCTCTCTCTCCCTCTCTCTCTTATTTATCTATTTTCTGTTCTTGATGCTTGACGAAACAGTAGTTTTTTCCGTAAATTTTGAGGAGATCCATTAAAATTTTGTTTTAAACATAACAAGCGATTGCAAGTTTTCTTTGCAGCCAGACAAAAGCGCGCGGGCGCCCACACACATAGCTTTTTGTCTTTTTTTTTAGTTTCCAGGAAATATGTGCTTGTAGTATGATGCAGAGAAATCATTTCTGTATTATTGTCATCTGTTTTAGGATGTAAAGCTAGTATCCTTCTTTCTTGTAAGATTTTTCATGCTCTTCAAGAACTTCAGCGAAGTGCTCGAACCTGAAAATCTATAAAGGAACGGATTCCCTTAATGTTGTCTATGAAAGAAAGAAAGAAAGGGGTTTCGTAGTTTTAGACTTTTAGCTGTATCAAGTCCTTTAATTTTCTTTACGAGGACTAGACAAAAACAAGATTTCCATGATTATCAGCTTTATTGGTTGATTTCAAGTGCTAAAAACTAAAGACAATGTCGCGTAACGTCGCCTTTGTTACCAAGGTAATAATGCTAATGATTCCATCTTCTTTGTTAAGTTTCTGAAAGGTGTAACTGAATCAGGGTTAATTTAGTAAAGTACTAAAATTGCTCCATGTGAAGTTGTCTAAGAGAGTGCTTAGGGCTGTGTTTGGTTTGAAAGAAAAGGTAGGGAAATGTAGGGAAACCTGGTACAACTTGACTACATTTTCTTTCCTTTCCCTACCTTTTCCTTCAAACCAAACATAGCCTAATGGATACAACGTGACTCAACTCAAGCAAGATTTGGCTCAAGCTCCAGTTAAACACATCTTTTAAAAAGTTGAAGTGGCGTAGTGAAGTTTTGGATTAGTATGAAATGTAGTTATTCACTGTCTTGTTTTTTAGGTTAAAATGCATTGTTATGGGAAATTTATTGGTTCTGAAAAACCTAATCCAAAACTTTGAGGGGAAAAAACCAAAGATGTGCCAATTTTCATTTTCTTAGGAAGTTTCTCCAAACCTGATACCCTTTTCTTTCATTGTTAAATTGTTATTTGCAAACTTATGTTCTGAATATAGCCCCATTCATGAAATATTTTTTGTCTAATGTGGTTTATTTTTTCTCTAGAAGTAATGAGCTGGTTGAGTGCAAGAGGCAACCTGTTATTTTTTAGTACTCAAATCAACTATCACTGTGCTTAAGCTGAACCTATATATAAAAAGCTTTCGTCTCATAAGTTATGACTATTAAATTCCTTTATTAGTGGTTGGTAAGGTTTCTATTTGTATTTGTGGCTTAGTTCCTAGAAGTAATAAATTAGTCACATTGCAACTAGACCTGTTCATGGGCCAGGTGGCCCGACGGGCCGGCCCGGTCCCCGGACGGGCTTGAACAGGTACATAGGCCCGCGGGTTTAACCTCGGGCCAAAAAGCCCGGCCCGCAATAAATTCGAGCCGGGCTCGGGATTTTCCAAAATAGCCCGGCCCGGCCCGACCTATAAATAAACCTAAAAACCCTAGTTGAATACCCCTCTTTTTTTCACCTCTTTCCCTTCTTTTTCCAACCAAATTCTTCTTCTCCACATCCTCTTTCCCTTCTTTATATATTTTTTTAATATAAATAAATTTTGAATTTATATATTTTTTAATATAAATAAATTCTGATTTATATTGATTATTGAATAGGGAAAATTTCTAATTTTTTTATTAGGTCGGGCTTCGGGCTTTTTATTAGGGCCGGGCTCGGGCCCAAGTTGTAGGCCCGTTGGTCGGGTTGGGCTCGGCCTCGGGCCTAACATATTTCTGTTAATGAAAAGTAAAAGCCCGACCTGGCCCGGCCTATGGACAGGTCTAATTGCAACCTGTTATTCCTTTAACATTCATAAATGATATTGTTATGTTTGCTTTTGTCAAATTACCATATAAAAAGCTGTGCCTTCTTCTCATCACTTCAAAGACATTGAGATTAGTCCTTATGGCCATACTAGCAATGTTGTATGGACATTCAAGAAAAATGTCCAAAACATGGATGAGGCACAAATCTTGAGATGAATGAGTGGGAAAACTAAAAACCTTGGAAAAAAAGGAGTATGGGAAATCTGGAAGTATCCCAATAGGTCATAAAATGAGGGAAAGTAGACCAACGGGTCATGTCCATAACAGACCATCTACAGCATCAGTAGGAAGAAGTAACCTGTTTCAAGTTGTTGGGTAGAAAAGCTAGGACAGGCCAAAAAGAACTTGTGTTGAAATAGTGGCAAATGATTTGAGGGCCGTAATTTAACGATGGTATGGCCCTGAATAGAGTGGAATCGTAGAACAGGTTTCATGTAGCCTGCTCACATAGCCGGGACAAAGCTTGTTGAATTGAGTTGGCTGCCATGATAGCCCTGTGATTAATCTATCGGATAGCTTTAGTAAATAAACTTGGAAATTCAAAATTTTTCATTGACTGGAGCAATTTCCAGTTTTTTTCTTTAATGATCTTCATGAGTTTCAAGTTGGTTTCCAATCTTTTGAGTTGCACAAGCCACATTTTTCCTGTATGAAATTAAAGTTTGATCAGAGTGGTGTTTTCAGGGTAATGTGGATCTTCAAATATGCATCAGTTAGCCTTGAACTTTTTTGGGTCTAGAATCAATATGGCATCTCAATTAATTGATAAATTCAAGAAGGGGTTTAAGGATATTTCAAATCTCCGGTTTGAGTGCTAGTTTGTCATTGTTCTTTAATAAGAAGATTGCAATTCCACAGTTCCTAACAAAAGGAAAGATATGGCATGAATGGAATCCAAAAATCACAATAAAATGAGCTATAAAACTTTTGGCATTTGCTGTTGGACATTTACAAAGTTCATTATTTCTTGGTACACACTCCACTTTCTTTTATTGAGGATAAATGGTTCATAGTGATATTAATCTGGACCTCTAAGTGAAGTTTACAGAGATACTTTTAATAATCTTAAGTTAAGGGTACTTGGTCAAATAGATCTTAAGTTGAGGCGACTTAATCAAGCTTATGGTGTAGGACTTATTTATTGGTAAGACTAGAGAGTTGATTGATCTGATGGGATCATGATCTCATGGTTACAAACCTCAGATCTGATCATTTGGATGGGTATATTTTATGTAGAAACATTGTTCTAAGCTCTATCCAACCATTAACAGGAATCTGCAGGATATCACCATGAAAGCACTCATCTTGGTTGGTGGATTTGGCACACGCTTAAGGCCCCTGACATTGAGTAAGCCAAAGCCACTTGTGGATTTTGCCAACAAACCAATCATTTTGCATCAGGTGAGTCATGTATTATTCATTGCTTAAACGTTTATAGACCCATGAACCAAATTGATTAGGACTTTGAGAATATGTCTAGCCACTTAAGGGCTGCAACTTGGGTGGGCTCAGGTTGAGAATTTGTCAATTTGAATACGCTTGGCACATTGTAAATTCTTCAGCTCAAGACCTGACTTGCACCTCTATAATTCTATTGATAAAAAAACTATGCTATAATAGTTTATGGAATTTTCGGTCTGTGACATTAGATTGAAGCTCTCAAGGCTGTTGGAGTTTCAGAAGTTATCTTGGCCATCAGTTACCAGCCACAGGTAAGAAAGGTTCAACTAATTACTAACCAATGAGACTGAGGTTATGGTATCACATTTACATGGTTAGATAATTTATAGGTTATGAGGAGTGCCTTAGAAGAATTTGAGGTAAAGGTTGGTATCAAGGTCACTTGCTCACAGGAGATGGAACCTTTGGGCACTGCAGGGCCACTGGCCCTTGCAAGAGAAAAGCTGATTGAATTTGGAGAACCATTCTTTGTTCTCAATAGTGACATTATTTGTGAATATCCGCTAAAAGAGATGATAGAATTCCATAAAGCTCATAGAGGAGAGGCGTCAATCTTGGTAACCAAGGTGAGTTTAACTCTGGTGGTATCTTTGCTTCATATTGGAAAGCTATTATAGTCACCTGAATTTGTCAAACAATAAAGGGAAACCCCCTCCCAAAAAATTGTAAAATGAAAGAAGAAGAAAATACCAATTAGAAAAAGCTACAGGAGTTAGGGCTGTTCACGGGTCGGGTTGGGTTGGTTTATTGGCGTTTTTCCAACCAATCCGACCTGGTCGGTTTACCTAGAAATGAAATCGAAACCGACCCAATACTAAGTAAAACCGACCTAGTCGGTTTGGGTCGGTTTTGTGAATGATTCTCCCGGTGTGAACGGTAAAGATTCAAGTCTAAGAAGCAAAGACTGGATGCCTGGAAATTAAAAATGATTTGATGGATTAAAGCTGAAATTTTATATATAATATGTATATTTCCGAAATAAAGTTGAAATAAATAAATAAATATATATATATATATTTCCACAAATATATATATCAGATATATATTAAAACTGAAATATATCAGATATATATAATATATCTAAGTTGGTTCGGTTTCGGTTTTCACACATGAAAACCGAAACCGAACCGAACCATCGGTTTATGTTTTTCTGTAACCCAAAACCGACCGGTGCTGAAGAAACACCGGCCAACTCGGGTTGGTCGGTTTGGGTCTTGTTATGAACAGCCCTAACAGGAGTGAGAAAATATTACTTGTCCTATGGATAAATATAGACAATTATTTTTCTGTGGGCAGGTGGATGAGCCTTCAAAATATGGTGTTGTGGTTCTGGATGAGGAAAATGGAAGGGTTAACAGCTTCATTGAGAAACCAGTAACATTTGTTGGTAACAAGATTAATGCTGGAATCTACTTCCTGAACACTTCTGTTCTAGATAGAATTCAACCAATACCCACATCAATAGAAAGAGAGCTCTTCCCTGCCATAGCAAATGAAGGAAAGCTCTTTGCCATGGTTTCAACAGGTTTCTGGATGGATATTGGACAGCCAAAGGATTATCTAAAGGGCTTAAGGTTGTATTTAGATCATCTTAAAAGGGTGTCACCAGAAATACTCTCGGTTGGGCCTTACATCATTGGCAACGTTCTGATAGCTGACAGTGCAAAGATTGGAGAAGGTTGTATTATTGGACCAGATGTGACTGTCGGTCCTGATTGCATAATTGAGTCTGGAGTAAGGCTATCATTTTGCACATTAATGAAGGGTGTCAGAGTAAAGAGTTCTGCTCATGTATCTGGAAGCATCATTGGATGGCATTCAACTGTTGGACAATCTGCCCAAGTTAGCAATATGGCAGTCCTTGGAGAGGATGTCCATGTCAGTGACACAATGTTCCTCAATGGAGTTGTTGTTCTACCACACAAGGAGATAAAATCACACTTTGTGAAGCCAGAAATCATAATGTAGGCAGCAATGGAATACCGAACCAAAACCATAATTCTCATGGACTAATTTAGACATTTTGTGTTTTCTATTTTCACTCTGTTACAGGGGTAAAAACTATCAGAAATCTTCATTGATACATAGAAAATTCTAAATGGAATCCTCTCTACCTTATCCAGTGTAAAATCTGCTTTAATGCAGTTGTGATCTAACCTGTCAGCAGTTTGGGCATGAAGCTCATTGATTCAGGTTCTGTATTGCAACAACGAGGTCTTGGGCTTAATGCTTTCATCCCAGCTTTCAGCTGCATAGCAAAATAAATTGATTAACGTGTGTGTAGTAGTAATACAACAACTTTGCTGTTTTGAAATTGAACTCGATGAAATTATTGATTCAACAATTTTTCTCTCAAGGTTTCTTTGGCTTTTCGGGCTGTTTGGATTCTCCATCAGTAATTCTAATTCTATATTGTCAAGGCAGCTTATATATCATCATTATTTCAAATGATGATAAAATCAAGGTTCAAAGTATCGAAAATGCAAGGTATATTAAGAGATGTATCGAGATATGCTTTGGAAACGTATAGATACTAACGAAAAATCAAGATACGCATGTATACACTAAAAAATCTAAAAAAATCCTTAAAAATATGAACAATAATAAAAATGAGTTTTATGTGAGTATAACTAATTTATTTAAACATAAAAACCATTCTTTAATGATTATATAAAGTATAGGATATAATTAGTAACCATTGAAAAATAATAGAACTAAAATGTTTGTATATATACTAATATTTATTAGTTAATATTTTTTTGAAATCATTTATTAGTTAATATTTATTATATATAGAATTAGATAATATTTATTATGTATATAATTTAATATATACCTTAATTTTTAATAAATCAATATAACTTGTATTCATCTTATCATTATATAAATATTAATAATCAAATTTATAGCATTTGTTAGGAAACATCCACCAAGGCAAGAAAGATTACTTTAAGTATAAAAAAAATGTCTTTCTAATAAGTAATTAATGTTGGCATAATGGTTAATTAATTATTGTTATAAGCAAATGATTTGGGTTTGAAACTTATTACATTTGTTTTGTGATTTTTAACAAGTTATTTCACTTAAATAACATTTAATGACATTATTAAATGCTGTAATCAAAGGTAACTTAAATGAGCATTTAATTAAATTATATTAGCATTTAGTGACGTCCCAAACTTTAAGAYTTAATTAAAATTGATATTAATGAGAGATAAGAGATAAATTAAATTTAAATTTAAATTTGATATTAATGAGAGAGAGAAGAGATAAATTATATTTAAATTTAAATTTGATATTAATGAGAGAGAAGAGATAAATTAAATTTAAATTTAAAAAGAAGAGAAAAATTAAATTCAACTAATACATAATGTGTATTAGTCCGTTTCGGGTATGTATTGGCATGTTTCGAATTGTATCGGCCGATACATACCTGAAATGGCCCGATATAAAGCTGATACGGACCTGTATCGATCCGATACAGACAAAAAAATATGAAACCCTGTAATTAGACATGTTCCGTTTATCGGAACTCTTCCTCAACGATATGTATTGGCCCGTATGAATCGATATGTTGCAAAATTTAAAACCTTGGACAAAATTTCCATACTTGTCTTATGGTTAAAATTGTTAATTGTTTCAAGGATGACAATCCAAACATCAATGAAAATCTTCAAATTTAAAAGAGGAAGTTCTACATGTACCATTCATTTCATCATTTTAAGACTTTTTTTTTTCCTATATGAATCATTATGTTCTTTATTTTGCGTTCTCTTCCCATCATAATCTAATAAGGGATACTAGTGGAGGGGCCCTGCTTTGTAGGGGTTGGAATGGAACCATCGACCCATTGGCCCATTGTCCTGGTCCTTGGCTAAAAACCATTGAATCGGTCAACGACCTATTGACCCAAGTAGTCGGACCATCGACCTGTTGACCCGTTCAATGGTTTTTGGCCATTTTTTATTATTTTTTTAATTGGGAACCATCCAGGCAGTTGGTTTCGTTTTATCCTAATATTGGTCCCTAACCAAAAATCATTGAATCAGTTAATGACCCATTGACCTGGGCGGTCGAACCGTTGACTTGTTCAATGGTTTTTGGTTGTTTTTTATTTTTTATTTTATTTTTTATTGTCAGAACAAGCCATATGTTCGAATTGAATAGTCGAATTGTTGACCTGAAAACCGATGGCTAGAACGGTTCCGTTTTCAGGTCGTATGAGTCACATGCTTGAATGTCATAAGACGTATGGTACTGCTTATGGACCTCACACTTAATTTTTTGCTTGTAATTTTTTTTGTTAGAATGGGTCGTCCGTTTTTTTTTTTTATTTTTTAATTAGGAACCGTCCAGGCAACTAGTTCCATTTTACCCCAATCCCAGTCCTTGGCCAAGAACCGTTGAATCGGTGAATGACCCATTGACTCGAGTGGTCGAATCGTCAATACGTTGACCCGTTCAATGGTTTTTGGCTGTTTTTTTTTTTAATTTTTGTTGTTAGAACGGGAAGTCCGTTCAAATCGGACGATTGAATCGTTGACCCAAAAACCAGTGGCCAGAACGGTTCCATTTTCGGGTCATATGAGTCACACGATCGAATGACACAACATGTATGATACTGCTCAATGGACCTCACACACTCAATTTTTTGCCTATAATTTTTGTTGTCAGAATGGGTTGTCCGTTTAAACTGGATGATCAAACTATTGACCTGAAAACTGGTGGCTAGATCGGTTCCGTAATTTTTTGTTGTCAGAATGGGTTATCCATTCGAACCAAACGGTCGAATTGTCGACCAAAAAATCGATGGCTAGAATGGTTCAATTTTCTGGTTGTATGACTCACACGCTTAAATGACATAACACGTATGATACTACTTAATGGACCTCACAAATTCAATTTTTTGCTTATAATTTTTGTTGTCAAAACGAACTGTCTGTTCAAATCGGATGATCAAACCGTCGACTCAAAAATTGGTGGGTAGAATGGTTTCGTAATTTTTGTTGTCAGAACGGGCCATCCGTTCGAACTGTCGATTGTTAGAAAATTATTTAACAACATTTATCAATAATAGTAAGTAATTATACTATTTAATTAAATAATCATTAATGATAGTTTTAATAATATTATTTAGTTATTTTTAATATAACAATAATTATTAAATTTATGAATAGGATTTATCAACAATATTCATTAAATTAACAATGACCAAAATTAAATTAAATTAATAGTATTTATTAGTAATAGTCAATAATTATAATATTTTATTAAATAATCAATAACAATACTTTTAATAACATTTTTAATATAAAACTAATTACTAAATTTATCAATAACAGTATTTATAATCTTAATTTAAAATAAAATTAAAGTAAATATCTATTTATTAACAATATTTATAATAATAGTAATTATTAATTATAATCACTAATTATATATTTATTAAATTATTGTAATAATCAATAATTATTAAAACTGGGTTACTAAATTTATTAACAGTATTTTTTAATAACAATATTTATAATTTTAATTTAAAGTAAAATTAAAGTAAATATCTAGTTATTAACAATATTTATAATTTTAATTTAAAGTAAAATTAAAGTAAATATCTAGTTATTAACAATATTTATAATAATAGTAATTATTAATTATAATTACTAATTATATATTTATTAAATTACTATAATAATAAGTAATTATTATATTATAGTAATTAATTAGTGTAATAATCAGTAATTACTATTTTTTGATTAACAATAATTACTATTATCTTATTATATATATATATATATTAATAAGGAATAGAACTTTCAAAAAAAAAAAATTTAATAGGAAATGGGTGCTTGCACGTGGGATCTACTWGCACGAGTAGATTCCATTTTTTGGATGTAGAGAGCACCCATTTCCTATTAATATATATATAAGATGGCATTAAATAGGATAGTGTAATTGAGATCAATATAACACTTAAATGATAATGGTGATGATTTATACATACAATAAGGGCAAAATATAATAACCTCGTTTTACTTTAACAAAAATATCCCCTGTATTTTTTGGGAAAAACCTACATTTATCTCTCATCATTGTCCCACATAGAAAAATGGAAAATGTTGGTATTTAAAATACCCATTTTACCATTTTGTATATTACATATTCAACTTTAGTCACTCATTAGTGTATCATTTTCCTTTACAAATTACAAGAAAATAGTTTAATCCTCACGGCAAGGTTTAAAATTTTGCAACGTATCAGCCGATACGTATTGTATCTTTTAAGGGGTCGGCATGAGGAACATAAGAAAATCATTTGTATTGTGTTGTCATGCGACCTTGTATTGTGATTATATTGGGGCATATCTGGGACGTAATGGACCTGTATTGTGGTGTATTTAGGTGTATCGAGACTGTATCGTAATTGTATTGAGGTGTATTGGCTGGCACAATACCATTTTCTTGTATGAAAAATTTGGATTAAAAATTTTTGAGATAAAAGGCTTTTAACTCCCTCCAAAAGCCTTCTTTCTCTCTCTCCCTCTCTCTCCCTCTCTCTCTCTCTCTCTCTCTCTCTCTCTCTCTCTATATATATATATATATATATATATATATATGTATGTGTGTGTGTGTACTCTCCTTATATTGAAAATCCTATATTTTTTTTTGTGCTTTAAAAAGATGTATTTACTTTTTTGAGAAAGTTTAGAAAAATAAAAATAAAAAAAATAATATTTATTATATTTTGGTGTAATTTGCCCAAGAAGAATAATTGTGTCATAGATCTATGATATCCATAGATTTATTAAAATTTTTAAAATATTTATATTTATTTTTGGTAATTTTTTGAATAAAAATATTTATTTTTTGTAAAATTTAAAATATTTATTTTTAAAATTTTTGTAATTTTAAAATAATTTTCGAATTTTTAATTCATAGATCTATTAAAATTTATTATAAAATATTTATTTTTTATTTTTTGTAATATTTGTTTTTTTTTTCTAATTTTTGGTGTGATCTAACCATAATATTTACCATGTTGTAATTTTATGGATGATCTACCACATCCATAAAATTATTTTTCTGTTACATTTTATTTTTATTTTTTGTAATAAAAATAAAATAATTGTTTAAACAATTATTGAAAATGTTTCACTAGA